AATGAGGAACCCACGTGGCATGCCAAGCAAGATAATCGGAGCCTGACGTGTCTATCCAAACGATTATTCCGGGACCGGGAATTTGAGAGGTATTTAGGTGCACGAGCGTCCACCATATCTGCTGTGCCACTCATCATAAGGAATCAGGTGCGGGCATGCTTATTGTTGTTATCATACAGCTATTTGAGCGGGGAGCTTTGGATTCATTCCCCCCCCGAAGTCATTCACTTGTGAATGATGTTGTTGGGGATAATGAGGAGAGTGTAAGAACAAAGAGGATACGAATACATCATAAAAAGAAGAAATAAAATTTGTAATTTGAATGCATACATAGCCATGTGCGATAAGAAGAAAGTGTGACCAGAGCGATGGTGGCCGTAGCTATGGTAAAAATAATGATCAGAGTCAATGTGGCTGAAGCCGTAATAAGAGATGATAACCGAAGTCGTGGTGGCCGGAGCCACAATAAAAAATGATAACTGGAGTCATAATGTAACCATATCCGTGATAAAAAACGATGACTGGAGTCATAGAGGTCAGGGCGGTGATAAAATATGATGACCGGAGTCATAATAAGATATAATAACCGGAGTCATAGTGGCCGGAGCCGTGATAAAATATGATGACTGAAGTCATGATGGCCGGAGCCGAGGTAAAGTATGTGACATGTAGTCACAGTAACTAGAACCGAAGTGAAACATGTGTCTCTGTGGCCGGAGCCGAAGTAAAACACTATGTCAGTTTAAAAGTGTAATTGTACAGGTAAACAGAAGTGCTGAGTTAAGCTTAAATATAAAAATGGGAATCAAAATGGCCGGAGCCATAATAAAATATAATGACCGGAGTCATAATGGCCGGATCCGAAGTAAAATATGTGATACAGGATCACTGTGGCCGAAGTCGATGTGAAATGTAATGTAGCATTATTATGGCCGGAGCCGAAGTGAAATACTTGACAAAATTGAGAAAAGTAAACAAGGGTGTTGAAATGGGCGTGAGTGGGTCCGTCTGGAAAATCTAACAACGTGGTGTGACAGTTGTCCTTGGAATGACGTGTGCAATAAATGCAGTCGTAAAAAGGTAACTGCAACAGTTAAACGGGCACATTTAAAAACGAACCGTCAGGTTCAAAACGGTACCGTTTGGGGTTGCCCATTGAATTCCAAACGATGTCAACAGGGACCGTAGGATTAAACGAATCTCAGCCATTGAGATCTAATTTCGCCCAGAAGTATAAATAGACATTTTTTCTGCAGAAAAAGGTTTACTTGCATTTCTTTTCCTGCAAAACTTCTACGAGAAGCTTCATTGTGCATTTTCCGTTCGTAAACTGCGGTAACAACTGGGGATCTCTACATCAAATCTTTCGAA